AAATATTTTTAAATCGAAATTGATTGGCCCTAGACTGTCGGGTCATGTAAGTGGCCATGTATGGCGGACGTAAAAAGTTACATTTTATGAACAATTATTTACAGTGCTACAAAAGCAAAAATGGAAAACAATAAGCCTCGTGCCAAAACTAAATTTAATCGCTCTCTCAATCTCAACAAATTCCTTGAGTTATTTTCAGCTTGAACCTCAAAAATTTTAGTTTGGTTTTGGCAGCATCAGGCGGGCCGGATTTGATCCGCGGGCCGTAATTTGCCCATGTCAGGATTGTACGTACCCGCGGGAAACAAATGGGTAGATAATAATGATGGGCAAATAATTTATTGCCGCGGTGCACACGTCTGCCCTGGTGTCAGTATGTCACAATAGACCAGGGGTCACCAACCTTTTTGAAGCCGAGGGCTACTTTCTGGGTACCGATTAAGCCGAGGGCTACCAGTTCGATGAACATATTTAAAAAAGTCAACTAACCTTTAATTATTGATAATTACTGGTATTTAGTCAAGAAAAACATTGATGAACTTTAGGATTCTTCAGGAAATCAAACGATTATCACAACGTAGCAAATGAATTACTAGCAATGACACTTCCATTTTCAAACTGAGGGTTTTTCAAATTGATTTTAAAGTGATCACTGCAATAATATCTTCGGAAACCACAGGTCCACAATGTACCTACTTTTTTACAAACACCCTGCATAACCCTAAGATAAATGAACTTAACAGTTGTATTGCCGAATGTTACATTTACAAACACATTTAACTAATTATAAATATCTTCGTTTTCAACAAGGAGAAAACTAAAATCAAACAAATCTAGTCTAATGCTCTCCACCAGTGTGTTGTACTCCTGCGTGTAACTTGACAGTTGACACGGTAACTCTGAGCGGGTCTTGCAGATTTTCATCAGTAAGGCGTATTCCGTGCTTAGTTCTTTGTGAAGTTCATGTCAAAAAATGTTGATTCACCAAGATGGCTTGAACCAAACACTGATCTCGTAACATACATAGGATTGCTGTTTGAATTAGAAGGCGAGCTTTTTCTGCCCGTACTGCGCTGACCAATGGACAGTGACAAGATGTGAAATGTCTCTTCGCTCTCCCCGCAAATGAGACATACGCAAGCTGTTTTCACGGTGGTAAAAGGAAATCCACCTCCCATTCATCGTGAAAATGGTAGGTTTTCTTTCGTTTTTCTGCCATTTTTCTTTGAAATCAATAATTGTATTATTGGCATCGCTGCTCCACAAATCAACGGACACGAAAAAACGCGAGTTCGTGGAAGGTGACATCTGTGTGATGTCATAATTGGGAGAGTGATAAATGACCCGGTACATTACTAAGGTCAAATAAAAGTTAGAATGATCGTTACCATAATAATCAACGGGGGTTTATTCCCAGTTCCCAACTAAGACATAAGTGTGACTTATACAAAAATAACGTCACAAAAATTAATTGATGTAGCTTACTTATAGGAGCCGTTATCACGCTTTTTTTGGAACAGACCTGCGGGCGACTCATGTGGTCTTCACGAGCGACTTGGTGCCCGCGGGCAACGGGTTGGTGACCCCTGCAATAGACCATATAAACGAAAACAAGCCTAACATTGAATCTATCTTTTAATCAATCATATTACCTCCCGAAATTGAAATTGTCAGTTGCCGATTTAATCCGGCCCCGACTGTGCACCAGGTCGATATGAAAATTTGAATTGTTTTGATTATACTGTAGTGTCCTAAATTTTCATGTATGAGCAATCTGAGTGGCGGTATTTTCGATTGGTATTTTTGGAATAATCAAAGGTGATCATAAAGGTTAGTTTCTGTAAGAGGATGTTTTACGGACCGGTATACAGTAGTAGGACCGGTAGTTTATGAAATCGCTGCGAGCTATTCGACATGTTACAGCTTTTCTTCCCGCCACGTAAATGTTATGGAGGATCGAGCAATTTAATTGCACAGCTGCTTTCCTCAAATTCGACCTGAACTGATCACAGAACGAGTGATATTGGTTCGCGTCAACCCTCCCCACTTCAAATCTCTTTAAAGGGGCCATCTCAAGCAATTGGTACGTAAAGTAGCCTAAGTTTGATTCCACAATTAGGAGTTGCAAAGACCTTAGAAAACAAATTGGCAGCGTGCATACAGAAATAATGCAGATGGTTTTGACATAGAAGAGATCACGTGTCTGCTCACCCATTAAAATTTGTTCAACGTAATTGAATAATGTGTGTCTGAGGTAGTCCGACCTTTGTCAGACGAAACGTTACAAAAATAAATTTGAGTTACTGTGCAGCAAAACTCTTGAATCACTAAAAATTGTTTACTTAAGTTTACGATCATACTATAGTGTTTATTACTTATCGATCCCGATCTGTAAGTATGTTGATAGGTATTTGTCTGTTTTTTTGCACTTTCGTATGTTACGCGATATCTCACGAAAGCGAAAGCGGTTAAATCTGCTCCAAATTTTGCATGTGCATTCATCATATCTCGGACCAGAAGCCTATTGATTTTGGATGAATTTTGTCGTATAATTAGCGAGTTATCATTTAATTAATGATAGGACGCGCGGCGTCGATATTGAGTCAGAGCGTAGGAATCGAAACCGCAGTTTCTGTTTTGGGGGATCCCCTAACTTTCGTCGCTGCGAACGATCGATAAGTCGGCGATCTCCGATCGCTATCTCGTTAACAAATTTGACAGGAATTTGTCCCACACAGTAAAACACGACTATCAATTCTTTTTTTTCAATATTTTTCTGAGTTTATTAGACACAAAAGGCCCATTTTAATCGTTTTCGTTGATTAAATCTGATTAATCTATTCTGGGGAGCGCGTCATGGCTTAATTCTTGGACGTGCATTGTTCCCAATATTCATCAATGATCTTCCAGATAATCTCATTTGAAACTCATTTATGCTGACCACACAACTCTTTATACTTACCTTGTCCGAAAACAACATGCCGTTTGGATCTTGCTAAATTTATGGAAACGGATATCTTCGGGTTTCCGAATGAGAAGCTTCAGTGGCAGATCTATCTGAACTCGAAAAAAATGGTTTTATATGTATCCTGTATCCTAATCTAAATGTCGCTGGAAATCTCAGATGGATCAGGCCCGAGGGCCGTGGGCTGCCGACCCCTAACACAAAACTTTTGAAGTTTCAGTAGTCAATCCATAATTGGATGGGAGAAGTCGTCAGAAGTCTATTACATTTAATTTATCTACATAAATTTTGTTATATTTTGTGTAAGTTGTCCTCAGATCCCTTAAAAAGCATTGCCCGATTCTGAATCGTGTTTTTTGTATTCTTGTATTAATATTTTTTTCGGTGGGCGGGCGCGTACTTTTACGTTTTTTAACTTTATTTTAAGTTATGCTCGCCTTCCAGGTATCTCTGCATTTTGTTTGTCTGTCCAGTTTTTGTGTTGTTTTTGTGTTTATGTCAGAGTACCAAAATAAATGATTGATTGATTGATTGAACTCTCCAACAAAGAGACTTACACTATAATACATCGTTTACATTTATTATTATCTATGAATCTTATACATGATAGTGAATATGGGCGAAGCTGACTATCGCCGCTCTCCCCAGTCTATAGCCTACTTTAACTTTAATAACTTTGTGTATTATCTCTTTCTTGCAATGCTTTTTGGTCGCCTGACATACGTAACAATCATTTCTGAGTGGTGCGCGTGACCTTGCTCTGAGCAAATTTTCTCGTCTAGATCAATCATGTGATATGTGACGTATTACCTCTCAGCTTATTGATATGGCTTATCAATAAGATTCGGGTGTTGGTAGAAAATTTTGGTGATCGTCGTTTTGTCAGTCAGCTCTGCTGCTTCAGTTCTTTGTCTATAGAATGGCGAAGTGCATTTTCAGTGTTTGACAGATATCGCGATACCCAGCTGTAGGCTATTTGTTCAAATAAATAGTGCTGTCTATGGAATGGCGAAGTGCTGTTTCAGTGTTTTGACAGACGGACATATCGCGATACTCAGCTATATTTGTTTAAATAAATTAGTGCGTACCGGTAATTCTCCGGAAAATTATGTAGGGCCTATCTACAGATGTCAGTATTTAGGGTAATTGACTAATCCAGTACCAGAGTATGGTAATCATTTGACAGTGCCGCAGAAAACAATTGTCCGATTGTCATTTCCAGATTCGTCTGTTCGTGCAGTTTGTTTTTATTTCGCGATGTCTTCAGTAAAAAGTAACACACCCTGCAGTCAGGCCATTTTGATTACTGGATGCTGGGATTATACTGTTATATATATTATACGTATATAGTTATAGGCGCGGCGGCGTGGCTCAGGCGCGGCGGTGTGGCTCAACGGGCTAAGTGTTAGGAATACGCTCGCCACCGCACCTCTAACTACTCTGCGTGGGTTCGCAGGTTCGAATCCCATGCAGGGATGGTTATGTGCGAGAGGATTGCTGGACTCCTCGCCGTCGTTGCGTGGTTCACGTAACCGCTGGTCGGTTACGGCTTCCTCCACCACCAAGTCCATGCTACCGAAAACAAACAATACAGTAAAACTAATCCCATACCCGACTTGGAATGGTAACCGGACGAGAGGCCGTGGTTCGCCATATGGATAAGCCGTCTTATCTGCTTTCCTCTCCCCGGGATAAATATGTAAATCCTATCCTATATGCGTGTCATCGAATATCAGAATATTGTCTGGTAGAATCAGTCTGGTAGTCTGTCAGTATGTAGCTTCGTTTTTTTCAGGAAATGCAAATGTCAGAAGGTCCGAAGGTAGACTGCGGTATGTAGGTGGCAACTCTCGGATTGCTGAATTTGAGTGATCAAACTTTTGACCTCACGACACCCCGTCTTCATTCCATGTTATGTCGAATTTGAAGTTGATGACTGAAGATTTCTGTGATTGCAAAGTCTGAATGTGGATAAACCATCGCGTAATACTGTAATACATATGCGGAAGTTCTCACTGCTCCAGGCGTTACTAAATGTTAGAATTTTTCATTTCAGAAGTATAGGGTAGGCTATCATACAGAACTTATTAGGCTTAGTTGCTTTTCTATTTTTACATTGTCCAATATTTAATAAAACTATTAAGTAAAGATTGGAATATACGCTGCATAGACATGGGGTGTGGCATGTCAATGGTGGTAAGTCATAATAGTACAGTTTTTATTGATAATTACTTTTTGACAACACGTCGAGTTTAAGACAGAATATTGTGCAATTTTTGTTTATCTATATATCATATAAAGGTTACCGCTAGTTAATTGACAAAAAGACTACTAAAAAAGTTGTCATCAATCTTTAGTCCAGTTTGATGATGTATTGTTATAATTTTTTTGTTATTCATTTTTAATAGGCAGCTTGTTGTGGATCAGCCGCTTGTTCTTTGTGCTGTAGTGCATGTCCATCATGCAAAAATTCAACATCTTCACGAATAGTTTATGCTCTCTTCCTCTTTCTGGGAACAATCATAGCTTCTGTTATGTTGGCTCCCGGCTTGGAAGACAAGTTGAAATCGGTATGATGTGTTATTTAGTTTAATGATTGATTATTATGTTACTGATTGCTATTTTTGGATTTTTTTGTACAAAACCTCCTCCACTGGTGCAAAAATGAGATTTGAGAAAACACCCCTCCACGTTTTTAAGTTACAAATTAGTAATTATTCAGTCGGGGTTAGAAATGATTTAAAAATTAGAATTTACTGCGCAATTTGCATTCCTAATTCAAACCCTAACTAGATAATTACTAAATTTCTTATTTTGAGCGTTGGCGGGGGTGATTTTTTTGCAGGGGCTTTGTGCAAAAGATCCCGATTTTTAATATATTGGAACGATTTAAAAAGCCTTTAAAAGCTATAAAAACTCATTTACTACAAATTTAGACGCTCAGCAAATCATTAGGAACACTCTCTCTATTGCACTACTGATTACCATAGACTTGATTCAGTGGTTTGTTATGCAATCTATGTCAAACGGGGTTAGGTTACGTTAGAGGTAAAATCCTGTTAGCTTTCTTAAAAACTGCAGACTGACAATCAATCCAATATGTTTCATACAGATTCCCACGTTTTGTTCTCATCTCGTTGACTGTGATGTCATTGTTGGTTACCTTGCTGTTTACAGGTACGTAATAGATTTTATAAACATATCCTTAGTAAATGAAATAGGCAAGGTGGATTGGTACATAATTTATGTTTGAATCGGTCACTTAACATAACATATTAATAACAATGTTATTTATAAGTTGCGAATTCTGGCTTAATATTAAAACAAGCTCAGAATGATTAATCTGTATTATGTTCCGATTTTACTGACTAGGCCTATATAATATATCATTGTCCTAGGTGTAAGAGTATCCTTTTTTCTTATTAAATATTTATTGTTTAACATGCATTTTTGTGTTATACCTGCTGCCTCTATTTAGCTTTGACTGGCTAATGTGTTTATAAAAAGTTCGTATGCAAAGATTTGTTCAAAATTAATTTTTGTTTTATTTCTAATCCCTGATGTTATATGAATTATTTGTGTTTTGTAATGGTGTTTCATTCATTTATATCATTTCCACGATTATCTACAAATATATCATTGTTTGTTGAATAATAACAATTTCCAATAAACAGAGTCTGTTTTGCAATGGCTGGATTCTTTTTATTGATGGCTGTTATTATGATCAAAGTCGAAAGCAGCAAAGATCCGAGAGCTAAGATACAGAACGGGTATGCTGTTGTTTTTACTCATAGTAAAATTAGTGTATAGTATTTTTGGGCAAATATAGAATTCAAGTAATTCAATACTGAAATTCTAATCCAAATTAGGGAGGTCTCTTCATTCAGCTTTGTTGTTTTACCATGTTTACTTGATTCTACTCTAGTCTGAATGCTATATCATAATTTATCAGTGGAGCATCTAAGAATAGGATTATTGACTTGAGGTATCAGTAACTTGATCTCTGTGAAAGCCACACAATGAAGATGGTCTGGTACAAAACCGTAACTTCCTGTTAATTCGTGTAAAATTATGTCAAGCCAGTATTCATCTCATATTGTGTTGGCCAAATGAGTCTCATAAAATAACCCTTTCAAAAATGTTAAGTATATTGCTACGATGAAATAGGCATCATCCGTTCATTTCTGAAGTTCAGGCAAAGATTGAATAAATGTCACTTGGTATTGTTTTTGTGTGTAGTTAGTTAATCATTCTTTTTATTAATGGCATTTTTCCATTTTCAAGTATTTTCTATTTTTTAATATAACATATCAGATTCAGCCACATAATACAGAGAAACCTACATTTGTATTTTACTGTTTTCCTATTTAAAATCTTTGTTGTCATGGATTTTACTGGTTTACTTTATGTAAATTTATATGAGTGACAAACTTGCACAGAGCAACAGACATAAGTTATCAGTTTTTCAAAATCACTAATTTTCTTGTCTCTTTTATCCAGATTCTGGTTTTTCAAGTTCCTTGCAATGGTTGGAATTGCTGTAGGGGCATTCTTCATTCCACGAGGACCTTTCGGGATTGCTTTCTATTATATTGGAATGATCGGGGCTTTTCTGTTTATTTTGATTCAGGTTTATTAATGTTTTATATTCTATTACAAGGAAATAAACTTTTGAACTTTGAAATGGAAAATGAAACTGCATTATTGTACTTTTAAGTTAACACTACTGGTTAGAAAAAAAAAGTGCGAGTTGTTTCAGTCACTCTGTTTCTTTACTGCTATTCCTGTAATATTTTGAGTTTCTTTGTGCTTAAGAAGGATATTATAGTTTTATTACCACTTAACTTGTTTAATCCTTTTATTACCAGTTAATAAAATCTCCAGAATGTTTTTGTTTTCTCATGCTTTGAATGACATGTATAGATTCATGAAATAAAATATGTTTTGTATTGCAACATTGCCTTATAGTTTGAACAATATTTTAAATTTTTTCAACCAGCTTGTCCTCTTGGTTGATTTCGCCCATGGTTGGAATGATGCATGGTTGGATAAAAAAGAGAATTCTGACTCACCGAAATGCTGGTTTGGACTTCTGCTTGGAGCAACTTTTGTCAATTATGCGATCTCACTCACTGCAGTCATCCTCTTCTACATTTACTATGCACATGTAAGTATCTCTGTATTATTGATATTTTTGTCCAACAATCTTTTATCCTTTTGGTGTAAATATATTAAAAACATCAAATTTACCTTTTTGATATGTTATTGCAGAGTGGATGCGCCCTGAATCAATTTTTTGTGAGCTTCAACATGATATTGTGCATCATTGTCTCGGCCTTTTCCATCACATCTCGTGTTCAAGATGGTAAGTTAAAACAATTTCGCAAATATCTTGTTGTTTGAACATATTATGCAGGTTTGAAATCTAAGTTTAATTTAATCTTCATTCTGGCTTTCATAATTAATCAGTTAAAAACATTGCATCAAATTCTTATGTACTTGATGTGCCCTTATTTAGGTTTTTTAGTACGATTAGTGGGACAGTAATCTTGAATATCATGATCCTTGAAAAATAAAGGTTTTAACATTCACTAAACTTGGTTTGTGTGCATCGCACCGAAGAACTAAATAAGTAAAATTTGGAGTAATCATATTTAAAGTCATTTTCACCTTACTGAATCAAGGTCATGCATGCTTCCTTGTTTTGATGGCTTGAGCTCATGAATTATTTAGTGCCACAAGATTTCGCTTCGCGAAGTTGTTTGCTGAATAGAGCAAATGCCAAGCACACATTTCTCATTGGATCAAAGACTGTATTTTCGCACACAAAAAATAATGCCAGTTACTAGAGTCCAACTTTTTTTTAAAAGTTTCAAATTTGGAATACCCCCTTTTTATTGTTCCATAAGTAAATAAGAACTTTTATAATATGTTTTGGAGCATATTCGGTTTGTTTTACTCTTTCTCGTGGAAAATTATGGGCGAGTAGAATATGGAATTAGACTGTTTCTGAATAGCACAAAGGGGTTGCCCTGTGAAAAAAGTAATGATTGTATGCCATATCTAGAACAACCAAGGAGTGGACTTCTGCAGTCATCTGTTGTGACCATGTATACAATGTATCTTACTTGGTCTGCAATGACAAACGAACCTGATCCAACCTGCAATCCCAGTCTGCTGACTATTGTACAGGTCTGTACTTTATATTGTGTAATCGATAGGATCTATAGTTATGAGTAATGTGTGATTCATCTATATTGTCAGTGGTGTCAGTTTAAGCATTCATGAGGTCAGTGACCTACATGAACTATTTATCTATCGTTCAATGTTTGCGATGTGAAGCAGACTTGATATTTCCAAAAAGTCTGCCAGCAAAAGTTTGTTATTAAATGTGCTATTTAGTCGACTAGTTCTCCATTTTCCCAAATAGACCTGAATATTCAATATCATTGTCTATGCTGCATTAATTCCTGATTTCTATATTTCAATTATTGGTGTAGGAAATCACTCATCCTGGAGATATTGCCCCATCAGCAGGGAATGTAACAACACCAGTTCCTACCAAACACGAAAAACAGCTGTGGGATGCTCAGAGTATACTTGGAATTGTTGTCTTCTTGTCTGTGTCATTTATTCAAGGTATGCATTCAAAACAGTTGGAATATTCATTCTATTTTGGCTGCTTTGAATAAATCAAAACATAAAAAAGTAGTAGAGTAGTGTTTGTTATTGTTAACTTATTATTATGCTGCTAATCCTGAAAAACATAAAACACACATCCGAATATAGAAAAACATTTGAATCTACTTGGTATCATTATTAAAAATAATCTGTCACATGAGCCTTGTTGTATGTATTTAAATTCATTCAAAGTCATGTGATTAGAATTAATGAATATCCTGGGATAAATATCAAAATCTATCCTGTTATCAAATTCTTCTCATCCAAACTTAGTATTTATTTTGAATAATAGCATTCGAAGTTCAAGTCAAAACAATGTGGATCGATTAACTTTGACTGAACATGTTGTTCTTGATGAAGAATCAAGTGGACAAGATGCAGAGGTGAGTTGCCTGGAATAAAAAGAACATGTTTTGTTTACTCTGATGTAACAGTGTTTCATATGACAATTCTTATACAAGTACATGACTATGATCTCTTGTTGTACTCCAGCAACCATTTTGTTATTTTTCATGGTAACACATTGTGTTCAAATTTATGACTGGTCGTGTCTGTATTGTATTATATTATTTTCTAGTCTTGCTGACAAGAAAGATGCCGAATCTAAGGTTCATGACAATGAACAAGGAGGTGTTGCATACTCCTATTTCTTCTTTCACTTCATGTTCTTCTTGGCATCCCTATATATCATGATGACTTTGACCAATTGGTACCGGTAAGTCAACATTTTTAACTATTCTAATCAACATTTCATCTGTATCGTTATCGTTGGATTTCATAGATATTTTAGATCAGTGTTCCCCAACTTTTTCACACACACACACACTCAGAAATAAAGAAGGGTGGTCGCTGTTCGTCTAATCATTTCAGAGAGTTGTGAGCTAACCTCTAAGTCTAATACTTGTTTTAATTTTGAAACTAAATAAGTGATGCCTGAGGCCAAATCACACGAATAAACCAGAGTTAAGACGCAATAGCAGCAGCACACTCAGAAGTTGTTACAAAATAAATTGAGGTTTTGTGAAACTAAACGGGCTATTTGAAGTGAAATGCAATTGCATCGCGTTATAATGATTGTTATCGTTTCTCTTCATTGTAGCCAGTATTTGCGAGGACCCACCAGGGCCTTGAGATTGGGAACACTGTTCTAAACAGGCTATTCAAAATAATTATACTAGAAAAACAATTGAAAAAGTTAAATGAAATTAGCGTTTAGCAGAGAAATCAGAATAGGTCATTAGGAATGTTTAAGTTGAGAACATGAATCAAATTATAATATAGAAATCCAGTTATATGTGCATTTCTTTATCCATCTTCAGCCTGAGTTTCAATTAAGATAAAAAAACTAAAAAACAAAATAAATCATTCTCACAGTTTAAACCATTTCGATTATATTACAGTCCTGATGAAACCTTTGAAAAGATGCAAACGCAATGGCCTGCTGTGTGGGTGAAAATAGTCTCGAGCTGGTTGTGCATTGGACTATATATCTGGACCCTCGTTGCTCCTATCTTTTTGACAAATCGTGACTTCGACTAATACCATTATATACTCTTTCTAGTTTTACAAGTCTGAAGTTTATATTTTGTTGTTACCTTTTTCATCTTTACCAAAGTATAGAACAGTATAAATGTTTTTCACCAGATACCTACCTAACTTGTTTTAACACTATACATATTACAGAAAGCATCTAGAATCACTGGATTTACCACTTCACCACTTTTTAAATATAACACATTATGTTCCTTCGTGGAGGATAAGTAATAGATGATTGGCTAGTTTTGGGCAATTTTAAATTTTTGATAATTAATATTACTATACTGTGAATATTCCATTGCTTTACTGTATTATGGTTAATTACCGAAAAACTTTATAGAATACCTGGGTAAATTTCAGACTAGTAAAACTGGAAATCTTTGTCTTGGAAGTACAAGATTTGTAAATATATTCTTTTTATCTACAAAAATTAAAAGTATTATTATGCACCCAGTCTGAAAATGTTTAATTGTAGGATCTGAATACGTTTGAAAGAGCCTTTGAAATTTACATTGAATTTCTAATTTTTCCAAATCAATTTTGGGTTATCTGTTTCGGAATTCAGTCAGAATTAATTTCATTCTTTGCGACATAACATTAATAACAACGTCCTTATCATCTGTTTAGAACCTGATTTTCCGACTGGGTTTCAATATTCTTATGCTGAAGAGTTAAACTTCGATCCAAATCATTGCTTGATTGGGAATGTGTTGTTGATTGTCTGTGATAAACTTTTAAGGATGCCTATCCTGATTGACCATCGATTTGACAAGTTGACTTCGCTTTATTGAAATTTTTTTTAAAAGTGAAGTCTGTGGATTTTTCTGTCTTTGTATGTAAAGTATTGTCAAACGCGTGAATAAATATATCTACACAACTTCGTGAGGTGTTATGCTCATTAGTGCCCGGATCGGAGGGAAGGGATTCCAGCACCGTGCAGAAACGACTTCGCTTTCTCAAATAGATTGAATGTTTGTTATATTCACGCGGCGGTGTGACTTAGGAATACGCTCGCCACCGCACCTCTGATTACTCTGGTGGGTTCGCAGGTTCGAATCACATGCGGGGATGGTTGTGTGCGAGAGAATTCCTCGCCGCCGTAGTGTGGTTCATGGAACGTTTTACGGAAAATATCTCCTCATTTCTCGATTAGAAATATCATGAACTCTTGATACTAATTAAAAAAAAAAAATCACTTCTATAACACGAGATGATTGCACGACGAAGGGCGTTGTTACGAGCTGTAACTTACATCATCGATCAACGCGTCTCTTCGTTTGTTCTCCGTGCGTTTACAGCTTTTCCCAATTTGGGACAATTCGGAGGTTGTTGTATTGGTCACAGTCTTAGATGCACCTACGGCGTCGTTCAATTATATTCGACTACTCGAGAAAATTAAAAATAGAATAGTCTGAATGGAATGAACCAGAAGTTATACATGTAGCATATTTCAAATACACTCGCAGGATGGATAAGAGCATCAGCAACAGGTAGGTAGGCCTACAAGATAAACAGTATCCACCTTGTCAAGTATCCCTAGGAATGCACTTTCAACATTTTCATTCAGTTGCTTTCTTCCATTATCCGATATCTCCTCATAAATCGTTTTTTTTAACAATTCAAGTATTAACAAATATTCTGTTAGGTAAAATAAAGAAAATAATTTCATCTTGAATTAATTAAAATTTGTTCAATCAATTTGTTCCTACATTTCTGAGTTAGACTCCTAATAGTCTGATGCATCACAATCTGAACAAAACCCAACTTTAAAAGAGAGAAATCAGAAACGAAAATTATTACTCACATTCTTTTTTCACTATAAACCGTAATCAGTTTATTTCCCTAAGTACGGCAGTTCCAAATCAAATGCGCTCTAATAGCCTAGCCCTAAACTACAAATATTTCTACTTCTAAATGTGATATTATATAGCAAGTAAATTGCTACTCAATCGAAATTGAGTATGGACCTTTCTCCGAGCATCGACTTCCTTGTTAACTTCGTGACATTGGTCAATCAGGAAGATGCAAAAAGTGACGTAACAATGCTCCCTTTTCGCATCCGCTCAGATACTTTTCTCACTCAGACAGATTTTCAAGCGTGGTGGTAAACTACAGTGATTTCCTACACCCCCCCCCCCCCCCTATAGGGGTGACACCCTCCCTAAAATTTCAAACACCCCCCCTAATTTTGAGGTGCGATTCCACACTGTAATTCTTAACTCTAGTATAATTGTATTCAAATATAACGACTATGGCATATTTATCAGTGTAGGTGAGGGGTTCCAAACCGCAGTCTGCGGGCCACTTACGGCCCGCGCAACGACTTAAAATGGCCCGCCAAAATAGTTTAACACTTCATGAGGTACCTTTTGAGTTTTAGATCCCGTCTATCGTTACATCATTATCACAGTTTGAGCACGTTTATTTCGTAACAATTGAATTATACCGGTATCTTATGTATACGTATTGGTTTTAGGATTACACACTGCAGTATTTTAGATATCAGCCGTATATTAAGAAAGCTTAAAGATGTCACAAAACGAAAACTAGGCACTGAAAACAGACGTTTTTTATATGAATAGAAGCGTTTTTATTTCTTTATTGAAAAGAATCAAACTTCAGCAATTTGTCTTCCATGCCAATATTTCAGTTTTGAAGGAATACAACATTATGCGCTATTATGATCAGTTGACGCGCGTATTTCAAAATTTAATTCATTGTTTAATTCATACAAAAGTCAAACAAACATGTTCAAAATAATGTGGAATGTGTAACAAAACAAGCCATAAGTAGTCATTATGCTAGATGAGCAAGTAACTTCATTAGTCACTATCAGTTGCAAATTACTTGCAGAAAGCCGTGCTTGTTATTTATTTCTCGAGAATTCTATCAGCTAAATATTATAATTATTATTTTCATCACATAACAAACTGCCATGCTAGGTGTATCTAAAATCAAGCTTAGAGCCTATTTTGGTGCCTATTTCTCAAAATTTTCTCAGGGCGCTTGTAGCGCGCCCTGAACCCCAGCCGTGTCGTCGCGCACTTTACATCGCTCCCTTTTTCTGGCCCTACAATTTTATTATGTTGTGTGTTTTGGCTCGTCGTCAATCAACTTGGGGGGCCTCTCGTGTACATCATTTCTTAAATACATACCAATTTTTTAAGAATACAAATAGTTTTATCGCTAATAGCAAATTATTTACCACCCCCTAAATTCGAAACACCCGCCCTAAAATGAAAAGCTGGGGAACATACTGGGTAAACATTACCTCGTTTTTGCATTTTTGAACTCCATTCGCTAGTTTTTAATTGTGTTTCGGAAACTTAAATATAAATTAGATAATTCAATAATAACTCTGTCTTTTTGGGAGTTTCAATTTAATTGCAGTAATAAATATTAGGATCAGTAGAGGTTGCGCGAGACTAACTCCCAATCCTTTCTCTATGCCTTTGCGCTAGTGGATCCGTATGCATGTAATGCAAGGATGCTGTAGCAGGAATAAAATACCTGCTGCTAATAAAAACTGCTAGTTTACAACTGCTTGTCTGAGGAAGTCTGATTTTGGTCAGACGAAACGTTACAGAAATATATTTGTGTTAGTGTGCAGCAGGACTCTTGAATTGCATAATAAATATTAGTGTCGAAATAGCTGTGACAGGCTAGGCTAAAAATCCTTACCGGTACTTTTAAAAAACAGATTGTTGTATGCGATGGATCATAATAATGGTTTGAAACACATACCCCATTTTACAGGCGCCAACTCGCAAAAGCACTCTTAAAATAGCCCCGGAAATTTTGCAATGGTAAAGCATAGAAGGAATTTTTTGGGGGCCAAAGGTCGGGGAGAGGTCCATAGACGTCCTTTTTTCTCAATTTATCGTTAAATATCGACATCTCATAAAATATAATGGATGTGCATCATTTTCTACATTTTGAATCAAAGAAAATTCAATGTCTTTCAGCATAAAATAATAACATTATTTTGACTCCTATCATGAGATATATTAGCAAATCGCAAGAGAATGACTTACAGACGCCTCTTCCTCAATTTTTTGTTAAATATTACCTTTGTTTGTTTTATATCTCCTAACTGATATCGATGTGCATAATTTTTTACATTCTAAAATAAGTTAATTGTAATACACTTTTATATAATAATAAAAAAATTCTGCTTCCAAATGTGGGACATTTTATCAAAAGAAATTGAATTGCTAGGAAGCGCCCTTCTTCGACTTTTCATTAAATCTACTATTTTGCTTTAGATTTTGAACCTAACATCGATGCGCGATATTTTTTAGATTTCAACACTAAGCACTGTATTTTGAAAAAACAAGATTCCTACACCAAATGTTGCATATTTAATTTTACAAAGACGCCCTTTTTCTCGAATTTTTCGGCAAACATCACAGCGTTTGCTTCAAATTCTGAATCTAATATGGGGTTTGGCATTTCAGTACCAGTTAAATTCCATGCATCCTTCTCGACGACTAACATACATAATCCTGACATAATATATAAAAAAAAAAATACTGATGATATTGGATGTTTCCCCGATCCTTGACTTTTGCGAGTGTTTTGGAGAGTTGACACTTACAAACACCACTGTGAAGCTAGCAACACTTTCAGCCAGAATATTTTTACACATTGAATATAGGTTCCACGCGCATATAGTGTTCACTTATAGGTAAATATAAAAATTGAAAATGCTGATCAAAATATAATATTGGCACGAAAATAGATGAAAAATCTTTAAACTGAATAATTACACTAAATTTAACAAGAAAATAGTGTTTAAAAAAAGACTAACTAAGCGAAAAATGAATTTACAGGTATTCCGCAAATACAAAGTTTCGGAAAATTATCCTTTTCGGAACCTCGATTCCTCGAAAACCGCCAATAAAGGCAGCACCACGACACATTTGGAGAAAAGCAAATACCCTATAAATTCGATTTTTCTATAACAGAACAGTAGCAGTACGTTTTGGATTGACCATATATATTACTGGTTCCATTACGTTTGAACCCATGACAATTGCACCTGTATGCTATTGCATCTATGGAAATTTTTTTGTTTCACGGATAGTTAAACCCATACTAACCCTAACCCATGGGTTTTAGCACCCGCATATAGATTGAACCCGTGGATACACGCATGGGTTCAAATGTACGTGGGTTCAAATGTACGGTCACCATATTACCAAACATATCGTGTAATCTAAATTTTAATAATGGCATGGACGTAACAAATTTAAAATTGATTTTGTATTTCAACTAAATTTGCTAGATAATGAATAAAATATCATTTTCTCTTTGTCACACATTAATACTGTACATCTTTTAAACTTGGAATACGTTGCGGGAAGTATAAAACAGCAAAAAAACATTTGCGACTCCTAGTGGATTCTGTCCTAGAATACAAAAAATTATCGTTTTTAAAATGGCGATTTTTCGAAAACCGCCAATAAAGGCAGCACTACGACATATTCCGATAAAAGCACATACATTATAGATTCGATTTTATTATGCCAGAACAGTAGCAGCACGTTTTGACTTGGCCATATATAATACCAAACATAGCCTATATTCCTCGATTTTTAAAACAAAGGTACGTAACATATTAAAAAAGGGTTTGTATTTCAACTAAAGTTGCAGGATAATTGATCAAATATTTTTTTTCTCTTTGTCGCACATCAATACTGTACGTCTATTAAAGTTAGAATAAGTTTCAGAAAGTATAAAGTAATAATAAAAAAAATTTTGCGCACCCCCTTAAATTAGTTTGAGAATTTCGAAAATTATCGTTTTTGGATTGGTGATTTCTCAAAAACCGCCAATAAAGGCAGCATCACGACACATTCAGAGAAAAGCACATACCTTAT